GTAATCAGTGAGTAGGGGGTGTATGTGTGGAGTGGATGTGGCACAAGCCCTTAGGGGTGCTTAGGTATAAATGGACTGGGTGTTTGGAGTGGTCGGAGTGAAAGCCGCACAGAACAAATGGCAGGAATAGCCAGGCAGAAGGGACTGGTGGGGGTGAAGGAAGGATGGATGTGCTGATCAAGAACACTGAATGATACTTGATTGGTACTAGGGGAAAGCACCGGCCTGCCTTCTGGCAAGAGAGAAGTAGGGCCTCAGGGACTTTTATTAAACACACAGCTGAAATCATACCAGCCATCAAGTGGAAAGGTTTAGGGCTAAGAAAGAGGGTGGTGGTTTGGGAGAAGTTTAGTTGAGTGGGAGATACTGGACTTTTCCCCCTCACTTTTTCCCTCCTGATATCTTGCCATTGTTTGCTTTTTCCCTTCTGAATGTTTCTCTTCCCATTTCTTTCTTTCTGTGCTTTAGCTGATAATATGAAACTGATGCATATTAACTTAATTCAACACAAAAAAAAAGTCTTGTGTTCCTTTTCTTTTTTTAATTTTTTTTTTGAGATGGGGTCTTGCTGCATTGCCCTGGCTGGTCTTAAACTCCTAGGCGCAATCATTTTCCTGCTTTAGCCTCACAAATAGGTGCAACTACAGGCATGAGCCACTGTTCTTTACATTTTAAAGTAAACCACTGAGCACTTTTTATTTACTAAGACCCCATCTCAAGAAAAACACTCCTTAAAGTATTTGATCTTTATGTTATCCTTGATTAACTTTGATCTCTATGTACAGAGCTCTTCATAGGGAAGCTAAGGGGAAGACTTCCATTCTAAATCACCAAAGCCACAATATATACATTCCCTCTCCCCTTTTCCTAATCTAACACAATGCCATGCACACAGCTAGAACTCAGTGAATAAGATTTTGAGTTCTCTAGTTATACTTGTGACTTTACAGCCATAACCAGCTATCAATCTAAATTCACTAGCTTTTTAATCAATCCTTTCAATAAGGGCTGAAAACTATAAAGAAGCATGTGGCTTACCTAAAAAGTTTTGAACAAGGCTGATGGTTATGAATTTCTGTAATTAGAAAGAGAAATACATTTCAGTTAATCATGTAAGACACAGGCAACTATAAAATATCTCAGAATTTTTTTTAAAACCAAAATCTCAGACAATAAGGACAGTTTTCCTCTTCCAAAGAGGTGCTGCATGCATAGTAGGAAAGGCAGCATTGCTACTTACCATTTAAGACCAGGGACAGTCTCAGAACAAAGTAGACTGCAGAATGAGTTCTGCTTCTATTTATCCGTGTGTGACGAGCACACAGCTGAAGGTTTTTATTCAGGAACACACAGCTATTGTGTGCCTTATTCAATCTTACCTATTTCAACAAAGCATCATAGGAAAAAGTAACCACTGACTGCAAGCATTTAATCAAAGGGGATAAAAGCTGGAGGACAGCTTGGGAAGAGAAGGACCTTAACCACCCCACCATCAATAACCAGCTAACAACTCATGACAACTTGGGCCAGGTGTTTTGAAGGGGAAGGAATTCTGAAAGTCTATTTACCCTTTCAAAAATGGTCAGTACTGAGGAAGATAGTCATTTATAAGGCAGATCCTAACAGCTTTTGAAAAGCTGCTGTGATTTAGCAGAATGAACAATTTTTTCAAGCTCCTCAGGGGGCTTTGGGTCTGGTTTCTTTATAAGTCTATGAGACTAATTGACCATTCAATTCTATTTATCACATTCTCCTAGAGAGCAAGGAATCACCTGCTGTTTAAATAAAGTCACAGCCTCAGAGTTCCAGGCTATAATTTTACCTCAATTAAAATGAAACCACAACCTTACAGGACACAGGGCTATCACCATTAGCTTCTGTTCTTATATTAATGCCACCGAAACAACTGGCACAAATACAAAACTTCCACAAGAGAGAGGAGCTCATTTGCCTAGCTACGATGTTGATACAGTGATGAAAATAAGACAACGCCATCTAGAAATACTTCCGATTTTGGTGCTAAAATTGATATAGCACACCATTGGAAGTTATTTCCCATTAGTCTATGGTATGTAGGACATTTTTAGCAAAAGTATTACCTAGAGTCAGAGAAAACAAAAACTCATCTTCTACTTTAAGAAAATACATTTTGTTTAACAAAATTCTTGGGGGAAGTTCTGAACTCTAATTGCACACTCATGTCATCAGACTGCCCTACCAGTTTCCTCCATAATCTCTAACTTGGGGGCTGATGGAGTGGCTCAAGTGGTACGAGTGCCTGCCTAGCAGGCGTGAGGTCCTGAGTTCAATCCCAGCAACACGACAAAGAAAAAAAAAAGTTAGGTTCAGACATGTGGTACTTATCATGTGGTATTTTCTGAAGGAAGTTAAAGCTTTCTTGATTTTTTGCAACACTAAGCACCACATGGAGAAAACAGGGTGTTGGTCTCAAACACGACAAAGCTGCACATTGGAATGAAGTTGGAAGACACAATAGCTGACAGGTAGACCCTCGAAGCAGGTGGAGGTTGAGCTGGGATTTCCAGAGCTTCCCACTTCTCAACAGCTCATCCGTACAAGTGACTCATCTGGAAGGTACCTTGTTCTTGCTTCTCTTCCTGGTGTACATTTCCTCTCCTTTCCCCTTCCACTCCCTCAAGTAACTGTTACTGTGTAACTTCTGAGAATACCTCTGTGTCTGCCTCCTTCTATCACTCCTACAACTAAAGTACCAATTGAAATGAGTTACTGCAGATTTTTAAATATATATTCAAAACAAGATGCAGACATAGAAAGTACTCCTTATTGTAGACAGTAATGTAAAGGTGTCTGTGTGTGGACTTAGATGTTTTCAACAAATAATAAATATGGTCAGTTTATTTCACTTAAAACACCTATTCTGGAGGTTCACCTATGCCAACTCCTCACACAGCTGGCAGGGAATACTACTCATGGCTCTTAATGTCTGACCTTTCAGCCTAGGGTTTCCAGTGTCCCTGGTTTCCATTTTCAAAAGAAAAATGCTACAATGG